TGAATTTTCTCAAAAAAGAAAAACTAAAAATAAAAAAAATTGTGGTAATCTTAATAGTTAAACCAAATTTAGGTGAGTTCCATTAGATAAAATCATAGTCTACTTCTCTTTTGCTACCTATTCAATTAAATATATAAATCATATATATGTATGACTTTATCCTAATCACAAGCAATATGTTTAGAGTTTAAATATATTTTAGAATTAATTGAATTACTAAGTCCAATGTTGTTAGAATCGGACCGAATCGGCCGGTCGGACCGGTTCGACCGTGACCCAACAATAAAGCGGTCCAGTCTGCCATCTAAAATCGGAAAAATCGAAAATCGGGGTCAACCAAAATCTGATTCAACCGGATTAAACCCGAGAACCGACGAGTCGGTCAAGGAACCCAGTTTTCGGCCGAAACGTCTCGAATCACCGTTGAGTTGATTATTTGTGGCTAGATTTAAGCGGACCTTCACAGACTTAGTAGTGGGTGGCCGGATCTAATCATGAGTGGTCGAAGGATTGTCGGATACGATCATGGGTGATCGAATAGGGGTGGCTAGGGGTGGGCATTCGGGTCGGGTTATTCGGGTATAACCCGACCCGGTCGCGTATTACCCGACCGGATCGGGTAATTTTTTACGTAACCGGGTTTTTCCCGGGTTCGGGTACCTGGTGCTCCCAAACCGGGTCGGGTCCGGGTATTAGAAATCCTACCCGGGTACCCGATCGGGTACCCGGTTGAATTTTTTTTATATTTATATATATATATATATATATATATATATATATATATATATATATATATATATATATATATATATATATATATATATATATATATATATATATATATATATATATATATATAATTAGTTACTGTTTATTGTTCTATAAATAAATAAATATATATATATAGAGGAAAATAGCAAAACCCGAACCCGACCCGAGATAACCGGGTACCCGGCAACCGGGTACCCGGTTATTTCGGGTCGGGTTCGGCTAATTTTTTTGTTGCAGAAAACCCGAATAACCCGACCCGAATAACCCGAATAACCCGACCCGACCCGAATGCCCACCCCTAGGGGTGGCCGATTGCCAGAGTTGAAGAATAAAAAATAGAAAAATATAGAGTATAAATAATAAAATATAGTAAAAAGTGAGGTGAAGTAGATAAAAGTGAAAATAATAAGTGGGAGATTAAAAATATAAAGAAAATTATATTTTTAAAGCATTAAAATTAATAAAATAATGGCATATTCAAAAAATTCAAAAGCCCGGTTGAACCAGTTCGACCCTATAAACGTATGATCCAAATGGTCGTCCGGTTTTATAGCCGATCCGGTTCTGAAAACATTAGTACTAACCATGCCCTTGCATTCCACGGGCCATATTCCAAAATGGACGAAAATAGCTATGTTAATACATGACAATAAAAATATATTAAATAGTATTAAAATAATATTTAGATATAAATAGGACATAAAAAAACTCGTTTCTTTGAGAACCATGACCCTTTATATAAATGTAGAGTCCAGTTATATTACAACTGTGATTAACCCCATCAATAAATCATAATTCAACTCTAACTGTCTCTCCACATTAGACCCATAAGATCATAATTAATTTGGACTTTCTTTTAGATAGCCATCATTTACGTCACATATGCGAGCCCACATAATTATTGAAATAATCCCAATAATCTCCCGGGCCACATGTGCTAAATACCTTATAAATGTATACACCTTATGAGCTCAAATATTGCTATCATATAAAAATATATTCCTTACCATCTCGTCCGTTGACCATACTGATATAGGACTAAAGAGGTTTTCGTCACATTGACTGTGTATAAACCCAATAGTAATCATGTACACCAATATATCCAAACGACATAGATCAAATTATGGTGTGTACCATGGAAATTACATATAATGTGATCTTAACATGCCTACTTCAAACTGGTCCTACTTTAGACATTATTGAGACCAAACCTTAACAGTACAGAGTGTAACTAAATACTTTATTCCTGCAGAGAACCAAAATACACAAATTTGTGTCCAAACATGCCATAGAGCTACAAAATAGCGTATATTTATACACTTACATACAAACTCCCACTGAACCATAATATCCTTACATGATATAACACAGATATGAGAAATGCTCGTATAATACCTTAGGTGTTTGTTGGGGCTAAATACCTAACACGCAAGTGCACGTATCGCAAACAAGTAGTAAAAGTGGACTCGTGAGAGTCGGATGTCGATCCCACAGGGAATACTCAAATTATCTAATCCTAAGTACCAAATTCTAACAATTATGATTTGTATCCAGCCTACGCAAAGTTGTCAAATTTAATCAACTAAGTAATTAAACTAATTATGAAAGCAATTAAACACAAGAATATATCAATAAAAACGGACCTAGGATTTTATCTTCCCCCTATGCAAGAATTGCTCACCCAAAACCCCTCAATTATGAAATATATGATTCATGATTATTAACCCGAGACACTAATTTACTCATAACCCGCTGTCGCGTGTATTATGAGTCTATTATTCATAAACGATTCACTATATGTCTATGCAAACCAATTATAAATAAAACATTAACTAACAAGTCTCGTGAATGGCTACCTAAGGTGATATATGTATGTCTACGACACCACATGCAATTGACACGCTCATCTGGTGAAAACTACTCGAAGGCTCTTCTACTTACCGTCTAATTATCAAAATAGCTCTGTCGAGTCAATTCCAATAATCACATATAAAGCACGTAAATTGATCAGGTTCATGCACTAACATTCATAACTAGTAGAAGAAATAGTCATAAAATCATAATTGCATAATCTCAAGAAAATGGGTTCACCATCTCCACATAGGGTTCCAACGAAATCTTAGATTAAAAACTTAGCTACTCATGTTCTCTACGAAAAACATAATAAAAATATAAAAAGACATAGATTAAGAAAAGATAGATGATGAAGAATTGTGATGAAGATTTTTCAATTCTCCGTCTTCGTTTCTTCGTTCTCTCGCTCCTCTTCCTCTAAGGTTGTGTCCAAAAGTTCTCTAATTCGTGCTTGGTTTGGGCTTAAATAGATGTCCCAACTTGGTAGAAAAATTTAGGTTTCCTTGTATGATTAAAAGTCCAAAATTGTCTCCAGCGTGTTTTGGCACGGCCGCGCGAGAATCAGTGCAATTCTCCCACGGCCGCGCGAGAATCGCCGAAACCTTCTACCCAACTTCTACAGTTGGCGCGGCTGCGCCAAAAATAGGCTAAATTTGGCACGGCCGCGCGGGCCAATTTTCAGCATATTTTGTTTTCTTCCATTTTTGCCCGTTTTTGAACTTTTTTGGCTCGTTTCGTCCTTGGAACTCCCAAATCGTCAAGTTGTACCGAAAATACAATAAAACACTCATTAAGAATCATTAAATCAATAAAAGTATACAAAAATCATCGTAAGAAAGTATAGATTGAGTGTAAAATATACACTCAACACACCCCCAAACTTGAACTTTTGCTTGTCCTCAAGCAAAAACTAGCAACCTTCAAAGCAACACTTTCAACAAATGCCTCTCATCACATAGATTAATGGTCAACTTCACATTTTCAGAACATGCAATTATCATGACAATTCTTAAAAATTTACAAGCTCGTAATTCAAAGATACGTATTCACTCACCCTTGCCAAAAACCACAAACCATGCTATCGCTTCAAGTATCCCATATTTGTAAATTAAAAATGGAGAAAATTTATACTTACATAATAATATTCAACTCCAAAGACTCACCAAATTTCTTTACTCGGCTAGTATCAAATAATTGAGCTATTGGGATCATTGGGACTTTTTGGCTTTCAAATGTTGGGTTTTTGGTACAAGGTAGAAAATATGGGTAAAAGTGGCTACTCTTCTTCTTTCATCTCACAATTAGTCACTAAGAGTTGCACTTGACGAAATTTTTAACTCTCGTTCTTGACTAGAGTTGTTTTCGCTAAGATTTAGCTTTTGGAATTATTGCTTCACCTCGAAGGACTTATATCCTAACTCGATTTGTTAAAAGTTCAAAAGTCTCCACTTTTGCTCTTAACATGATGGTTCGAGTTTTTACTATAAAATCTTTCTCAAGTCGTCTCTTCCCCTTCTATCTCTCTTCCCCTTCTATCTTTCTTCTTTTTTCTGTTTTCTTTTTTTCTTTATCAATTTTTATTTCTTTCTCTCTCTCTCTCTCTCTTTTTTTTTTTTTTTTTTTTTTTTTTTTTGCGTAAAGAAGAAAAACGTAACAATTTTTTTTTCAACCACGTTCCAAGGGATAAATTATCAAGAAACCACCATCTAATCTACCCACTTTATTTCGGCTAAAAGAAAGAACACCGTTTCTCCAAGGCTCAATCAAGGTTCGAATGATAAAAATTTAAAGGTAGGCTTGAAAGGCTCAAACGGTTCAAAGATGGCCCAAATCACTTCCCAAATCGCTCAACAATTTAATATTTCACTTCGTAAATTCCTAAGGTAAGTTCTAAAACCGAATAGCATATGATATAGCATAAATTAATTCCACGTTTAAAAACACAAAACTTTCAACCAAAGCAAGGCATAATTCGTGATTCCTAACAATGACTCCTTCCTACGACACTTTGAATCAAAGGCTCACAAAAATTCAATCACAATCAAGATAAAGCAAGCAATTTCATCATTAAACATCAACCATCTTTAATCATCATGATTCATCGAAACATTCATCTCCACACATTTTTTTTTCGAAAGCAACAACTAAAATAAATAAAAAATCCTAAGGCATGTAAACTCAAAAATTAACAACTAAAAAAAAATAAAATCTTAAGGCCTGCAAACTAAAAAATTAAGGCACATAAAAGCAAGTAATTATCCATCCCCAAACATAAAATTTACATTGCCCTCAATGTAATTAACACGAAGTTTAAGGATAGAATACACCTGAATTAGTCGTTTTGGCCATGTCCGGGCTGCTCTTCACCCTCGTTTTTAGTATGCTTCTGTTGCGTTTCGCACGGCTGTATGAGATTTTGAACTGTTTTCCACACGGCCGTGCGAATTGCCAAAATTGGGTAGTAGCTGTCTGTTTCTCGCACGACCGTGTGAATTTAGCCTTGTTTTGGGACGGCCGTATGAGCTCCAGAGCTGCAATTTTTTGTCCTAACAATTAAGAATAAATAAATAAATAAAACAAAACAAGAAAAATAAATAAATAAAACGGAAATCTCGGGTTGCCTCGCGAGAAGCGCTAAGTTTATAGTCTTCAGCCAGACTTTGTTCATGCTCATCAATTCCTTAGCTTTCGGACCCATCTCCTTACTTACTTTTTGAGAAAGTCTTGAATAAATGGGTTGATCTGATTCTTCTTTCGACTAGTTCGCTTAGGAATTCTCTTGAATTTATTATTTTTGATGTCATGAGGCTTGGCGACATCGTCTTTTATCACGGTGTTTTGAGTAGGTGTTGTAACCAACTCAACATTTTCTTTTTGTTCTCCTACATGCACATTAGTCTCCACAATATTTTTTAAATCATGTAATTTAACAGAAGCAAGTTTAGAATCACTTACCTCATCAAGTAGATAACATCCATTAGCCATAATAGGCTTTTGATCCACCCGGTACACCTTGAACATCACTGTTTCTTCTCCCACACTCACTCTTAGCACTTTCTTCCCTACATCAATAATTGACCTACCAGTTGCTAAGAAGGGGCGTCCTAAGATAAGGGGAATATTTTCATCTTCTTCTATGTCTAGTATTAGAAAATCGGCCGGGAGTATGAACTTATCTACATTGACCAATACATCCTCAACTATACCTAAAGGGTGAGTAAAAGATCTATCGTCAAGCTGCAAGGTCACGGAAGTGGGCTTAATTTCTCCTAAATTCAATTTCTCATAAATTGATAAAGGCATTAAATTTACGCTAGCCCCTTGATCACACAATGCCCGACCAAAGTACCTAGTACCTATTGTGCATGGAATGGTACAACTCCCCGGATCTCTAAGCTTCGGTGGAATTTTATTTGAAACGATATCACTACTTTGCTCATTGAGGTCTACTATTGCTGCACACTCCGGAAGCCTCATCTTCTTCGATATAAGTTCCTTTATGAACTTAACCCAATTTGGCATATTCTTAAGTGCCTCAACAAAAGGAATATTAACATGCAACTTTTTAAGATAATCAAAAAATAAGTGAAATTTCATATCAAGCTTAGAATTTTGAAAACGTTGAGGGAAGGGTACCTTGGGAGTAGATTCACTTACTGTGATCTTTGTGTTGCTTGGCCTGACCGCGGTCTTTTCTTCGGGCTCCTCTACAATAGGCGGTGGTGCAACGGACTTTGTAGGACCTTCCTCTAATTGCCTCCCGTTTCGCAAAGTTACTGCATTGCACAGCTCGATGTTGCTCTTTCGAGGATCTTCTGTATTCGACGGTAGTGCTCCCGACGGCCTCGCGTTTAGCTGGGTTGCAAGTTGACCCATATGTGTTTCCAAATTTCGAAGGAAGCTTGCGTTGATGTCATAAATTGAGCTAAGATGTTTGCGAGATCTCCACCTTGAGGTGGAGCTTGAGGCGGATTTTGGAATCCGGGAGCTGCCTTTGTCCTTGCTGATTTCCTCCCCATCCAAAGTTGGGGTGATATTTCCATCCTGGATTATAAGTGTTGGAGTACGGGTTCTTCTGTTGTCGGTTGGTGTGATTCACGTAATTTAGAGACTCCGTTTCTTCTAAGCACTGGTCGGGAACTTGCACTGCATGGACTTGTTGAGTCTGCAAAGTTGCAACTTGCTTTGATAGCTTTTCTAACTGAGCGGTGATTGCGGTGACCCCGTCTAACTCCAAAATTCCTCCCGTCTTAATGGCTCCGCTATTTGACCGGTCCGTTGCCCGCATGTATTTATTTCTAGTGATTCGCTCCAAAAGTTTGTATGCTTCGTCATAGGTCAAACTCATGAACATACCTCCAGCTGCAGAGTCGAGCACTGTTCTCGAATTATCTTGCTATCCATCATAAAATATTTGAAGTTGCCGCCACTCTTGAAGTCCGTGATTCGTGCATCTCCGAATTAATTGTTTGAATCGTTCCCACGTCTCGAACAACGCTTCACCAGCTTCTTGTAAGAAGTTTTGTATTTCTCTCTGGATTCTCTCAGTTTTGGTTGGGGAGTTGTACGTATTCATGAAGAGCTGCGCTAGCTGGGGCCAAGAAGATATGGAGTGTGGTGCATGAGTTTGTAGCCATTCTCTTGCGGCTCCTTGGAGAGAGTGCTTGAAGAGGCGGAGGTGCAGTGCTTCCGGTGACACTCCGTTCTTCTTATGCGAATCACATGTTTTGAGGAAGTTGACCAAGTGGAGATGCGGAACTTCATGAGCTAATCCGCTGAATAACCCATTATTTTGGAGCATAGTAAGTAGTCCCACTCGAATTTCGAAATTGTTGGCTTGAATGGGGGGCTGCTGGATGCTTGATTGAAACCCATTGAGTGTCGGAACGGTGTACTCATGCAATGCTCGTTGACGAGGTGGTGGATTAATGAGCTGTTGTTGCTCATGCTCATTGACGATATTTCCTGCCGCATTTAGTACTCGTCCTTGGTCATCTCCCATGCGATTAATCTCTTCTTCCATTGTTGCGGGAAGGTTTTGAGCTAACCGTTGATTTCTTCTGGCATGTCTAAACGTTCGCTCAATTTCGGGATCAATATGTAGCAAGTTCGTGTCGTGTCTGTAGACGCATAAAATTAATTAATTGGTTAATTAAATTAGCCAATTAAATTGTGTCTAAATTAAATTATACATTGTCTTGCAAGACAATTAATGGGGATAATTATTAATTAATTATTTGCCAATAGGATTATTTCTTCTCTTCCAAGTTATAAGAGATAAATATCAATTTAAAGAGAGCCAATCAAATCGCACCACATCATCAAGTAGACTTTAAGTAGGACTCTTATTCTACCACTATAAATAGGGGCCCTCCCTACACAATTCTAAACACAACTCAAGAAGAAGAAAAACGTAGGAGAAAATTCTCTCTACAATATTCAAGTCATTCTTCATCAAATCCAAGGCGTTCTTCATCAAATCCAAGGCGTTCTTCATCAAGTTCAGCGTTTCGATAGATTCAAGTTGCAAGACCCTCGAAAGACGTTATTCAAATCCAAATCAAATCCGGAGAAATCAAGTCAACGACCCGTCTCCGAAATTCAAAGTCAAACACATATTGTTCTTGAGAGAAGAATCAGAGGATTAAATTAGAGTTTGTAACCCGCAATATTTTATTTTAATTCAATAAATTATTTTTGTGCAAGTTTTTCTTGTTTGTCTAAATTAGAATAAGAATTTTGTTGCTACAAATTTTGGCACGCCCGGTGGGACATCTCTACCTCTCATCTCTTCTCTCTCTCGAAGATCCTCGAAGTGTTGCAGTGACTGCTCTACGTTCACAATGAAGATTGCTTCTTCGGATTCATCAAGTGTGGGCTTAGGTACAAGGACTATGGCTAAGAAGCTGCAAGCATCCTCCGAGACTAACTCGACGCCTCAAACCATTCAGAAAGGCTTACCACCTCTTGTCAACACAAGCGCATACGTGGAAGGTTCAAAACGAGAGATTTCACAGCCCACGCCTCGTTCAACATCAAGCTACTCAGAGGTGGCATCTGTCATGACAACAAACGCTACAACCATGGAGGAGCAAATTGCAAGTTTGACAAAGGCCATTGAGGGACTCGCAAAGCATGTTCAACAACGAGATTCTCAAATTGCCAAGTTGATCAACAAGATGGACAAATCCGATGCTAGTCAAGCTGTGGAGAATCAGATTGAGGTTCAAGACGAAGTCGAGACATCCACAAAGAAACATCCAGTTGAAAACGAGAAGGCTCCAGCTCAAGAACTTCCAGTTTCTCCAGAAGGGATGATTCATGTAGATCAAGTGATGACGCTGATCAGTGGCACCATCAAAGACAAGTTGGAAGGAAGCTCGAAGTCTCCATCAACCTATGTCAAGCCATACACGCAAAGGATTGATGATCTAAGGATGCCAATGGGCTATATACCTCCAAAGTCTCAACAATTTGACGGCAAAGGCAACCCCAAGCAACATGTGGCACACTTCGTCGAGACTTGCAATGATGCCGGGACGTACGGAGATCACCTCGTCAAGCAATTCCTCCGATCGCTCAAAGACAACGCGTTTGATTGGTACATTGATATGGGGGCAAACTCCATCGATAGATGGAAGCACTTAGAGGAAGAATTTCTCAACCGCTTTTACAGCACTCGAAGAACAGTCAGCATGATTGAGCTCACCAATTCCCGCCAATGGAAGAAGGAACCTGTCATCAACTAGACTACATCAAACGTTGGAGAAATTTGAGTCTTAATTGCAAGGATCGACTGTCTGAGACATCAGCTATTGAACTGTGCATCCAAGGAATGCAATGAGGACTCCGATATATCCTTCCAGTAATTCAACCTAAAAGTTTTGAAGAGTTGGCCACTCGAGCACATGATATGGAGTTGAGCATACTTGCAAATCAAATTGAAGAACCACCATTCCAAAATCCGTACCAGCTCAAAGAAGAACATGTTGAAGAAGAACAAGAAGATCATGAGGATGGGGGCAAGTCTTATAAAGAAACAACATCCTATGCAATGTGACAAGTAAAATCAAATGAAGCACTCCTTGACACGAGTTTAAAATGTCTACATGTCCAAATTAAATGAAGCACTCCTTGACACAAGTTTAAAAGGTCTACATGTCCAAATACATTTAAGCACTCCTTGACACGAGTTTAAAAGGTCTACATGTTCAAATCAAATGAAGCACTCCTTGACACGAGTTTAAAAGGTCTACATGTCCAAATCAAATGAAGCACTCCTTGACACGAGTTTAAAAGGTCTATATGCCCAAATCAAATCAAGGCTCCTTGATACGAGCATAAACTATCTACATATCCAAATCAAATCAAGGCTCCTTGATACGAGCATAAACTATCTATATATCCAAATCAAATCAAGGCTCCTTGATACGAGCATAAACTATCTACATATCCAAGTCAAATCAAGGCTCCTTGATACGAGCATAAACTATCTACATATCCAAATCAAGTCAAGGCTCCTTGATAAGAGCATAAACTATCTATATATCCAAATCAAGTCAAGGCTCCTTGATACGAGCATAAACTATCTACATATCCAAATTAAGTCAAGGCTCCTTGATACGAGCGTAAACTATCTACAAATTCAAGTCAAATGCTCATTCAGCATGAGTTTAAACTGCATATATTTCTCCTTGTCCACATGAGTATAAACTGTGCACGACATCCCTCAAAAGGATATATTTTGAACTACGTTATGACTTGATCCCTTTATAGGGTACGTAGGCAACTTATAATTTCTCTAAGTTCAGTCATGATTTCAAATATGTATGTTCTTTGCTAGATCAAGCTGCAATTGAAGTTAAGCAATTATCGAGACTCATTCACTTCAAGACGCATCGTCCGTGAACAAGTCGCGAGGGGGCATTTGTAGACACATAAAATTAATTAATTGGTTAATTAAATTAGCCAATTAAATTATGTCTAAATTAAATTATACCTTGTCTTGCAAGACAAGTCATGGAGATAATTATCAATTAATTATTGGTCAATAGGATTATTTCTTTTCTTCCAAGTTATAAGAGAAAAATATCAATTTAAAGAGAGCCAATCAAATCGCGCCACGTCATTAAGAAGACTTTAAGTAGGACTCTCTTTCTACCACTATAAATAGAGACACCCTCAGTACACAATTCAAAACACAACTCAAGAAGAAGAAAAACGTAGGAGAAAATTCTCTCTACAATATTCAAGTCATTCTTCATCAAATCCAAGGCGTTCTTCATCAAATCCAAGGCGTTCTTCATCAAGTTCAGCGTCTCGATCCGAGATTCAAGTCGCAAGACACTCGGTAGACGTTATTCAAATCCAAATCAAATCCGGAGAAATCAATTCAACGACCCGTCTCCAAAATTCAAAGTCAAACACATATTGTTCTTGAGAGAAGAATCAGAGGATTAAATTAGAGTTTGTAACCCGCAATATTTTCATTTAATTCAATAAATTATTTTTGTGCAAGTTTTTCTTGTTTGTCTAAATTAGAATAAGAATTTTGTTGCTACAGTGTCCTCTTCGCATAAAAAATACCTAAAACAAAAATAATAAAAATAATAAAAATAATAAAAATAATAAAAATAATAAAAACTTATCCTAATTTAACCGCCACCACCCCTCACAAACTCGCCCCTCGTTCTTCTCCTTGTGTCTACCTTGGTCACCCCTCCTCGTACAAAGGCTATCGTTGCCTTGATCGGTCCACCGGTCGAATCATTATCTCTTGTCATGTGATCTTTGATGAAACTCGTTTTCCATTTGCTGAATCCAGTGAATCATCACACACCTCCCCCACCTCTAATATGACCGAACCTCTGTACCCCCTTCTCCTTCTTCCTCAGCCTAAACCAGCCCCACAAACTGTTTCACACAACTGTTCCAACAGTTCGTCCAACAGTACTCTAGAACCACCTACTGTCCCATCCAACTGTCCCAACAGTTCGTCCGACAGTCATCCATCAACTACACCCATGACCCTCAACCCGGCTGAACCTCCACACCCAGCAGCACCACAACCTCCCCCTCCCGCTTCCTCACCCCCACCCAACCATCCTATGCTGACACGCAGCAAGGCCGGTATTCAAAAACCCAAAATCCCCTTTTCTCTTACCATGTCTACCTCATCCCCAACTCCCACTACATATCGCCATGCCCTTCTTGATCCAAACTGGCGTATGGCTATGCTTGAGTAATATACTGCTTTGATTAAAAATAACACATGGGATATTGTGCCCCGCCCCTCTACTACTAATGTTATCAGTGGCAAGTGGTTATATAAGTAGAAATTGAAGGTTGATGGTTCATTGGAACGGTATAAAGCACGATGGGTTGTTCGCGGTTTTGATCAACGCCCTGGTATTGATTTCAATGAAACATTCAGTCCGGTGGTAAAACCAGCAAATGTTCGGACAGTTCTCAGCCTTGCTACCTCTCACTCTTGGCCGGTCCATCAACTCGACGTTAAGAATGCATTCCTCCATGGCAACCTCTCTGAAACACTGCACTGCGGACAACCACCTGGCTTTGTTGACCCTACTCGTCCCACTCATGTATGTCATCTTCGAAAGGCTCTTTATGGTCTCAAACAGGCACCACGTGCGTGGTACAAGAGATTTGCCGGCTACATCACCTCTCTTGGATTTATCGAGTGTAAATCGGACACCTCCCTCTTTGTGTATCGCACTGGCTCTACAGTTGCCTACCTCCTACAGTATGTTGACGACATAGTTCTGACAGCTTCCAGCACAACCACTCTTCAGTCCATCATTACCACACTCCACCAAGAATTTTCTATGAAGGACCTCGGCCCCCTACACTACTTCTTTGGCATATCTATTACACGCTCGTCTGAGGGGATGGTCCTCTCTCAACGTAAATATGCCGAGGAGATCCTTGAACGTGCTAAGATGACTTCATGCAACCCGTGCCTCACCCCAGCGGATACCAAAACAAAGTTTTCTGCCAACTCTAGCCCCTCTGTCGCCGACCCTTCTCTCTACCGAAGTTTTGTCGGCGCTCTTTAATATCTCACTTTCACACGACCAGACATCTCTTATGTCGTGCAACAAATTTGTCTTTTCATGCATGATCCAAAGGAAACTCACATGACATCTCTTACGATATCTTACCGGCACTCTTGACTACACGCTTCACTTCTACCGCTCTAGAGACATGTCTCTTATTGCGTACTCTGATGCCGATTGGGGTGGATGCCCTGACACTCGCCGATCCACTTCGGGCTATTGTGTCTTTCTAGGTGACAACCTTATCTCCTGGTCCTCTAAACGGCAAGTGACAATTTATTGCTCAAGTGCGGAGGCCGAATACCGGGCTGTAGCTAATGCCGTTGCTGAAATGACATGGGTGCGTAACCTCCCAACCGAACTACTATGTCCACCGACGAAAGCAACCATTGTCTATTGCAACAATATCAGTGTTGTCTACCTGTCCAGCAACCCGATTCAACATGCGCGCACCAAACACGTGGAACTTGACATACACTTTGTGCGGGACAAAGTAGCCTTGGGACACGTTCGTGTCCTCCACGTCCCGTCCACAGATCAGTTCGCTGACGTCTTCACCAAAGGACTTCCGACCCCTCTATTTCGAGAATTCGTCTCCAGTCTGCACGTTTGCCCATCTCCCGTTTCGACTGCGGGGGAATATTAGCCGTATCTTTATGTATCTTTATTAATATATATATATATATTATAGATAAATATTGTATTATTCGTATGTATATTTCCTAGTTCCCTTGTGTAAATGGTTATGGTTTTCACACATGTAATATATATATCACAATAAACGTGAGAGATTATTATTCTCTCTTCTCTCCAAATATTTTCCTTCTATCACTATCTACTCCCTCTTAAATCCATATTTATTTTTGATTTATTTCCTTACCTATATTTTATGGACCACATATTTATCATTTGTCAATTGGTTAAATTTCGGAATAATTTTTTTTTTTTTTGCAACACGAGGACTTCCCAGGGGGTCACCCATCCTAGTACTACTCTCGCCCAAACACGCTTAACTTCGGAGTTCTGATGGGATCCGGTGCATTAGTGCTGGTATGATCGCACCCGTAAGTCTATGCACGCAATTCGGTTTTATGTTGAGAAACTTGCGCCGCAGCGGCTTAAAGCGTTGATAACTTTTGACTCGGGATGAGTTACGAGGCGATCTGCATACGCCCGCGAAGCTCTTTTAGACGCCGTCAGCGTGTTAATTCAGCGAAGCCCCATTGACCCCGCGCTCGCAGTGAAAAGAGGCCGTTTAGCCCAGCTTCCGCCACTGTTAGGCGCGTTTATCGGTGCAATCAGCTCGTTCGATCGATCCGACCGGCCCCACATTGCTCGGCGCACGTCGTGCTCGCGCTGAGATATGCATTAGATGCTCATCGCCGTCAAAAAAAAAAAAAGAATGAAAAAACTACTAGAAAACGGGAGGTGAGACGAGAAAATAAAATACAAAAAGGTGGGGTGGGGGTGCAACACGAGGACTTCCCAGGGGGTCACCCATCCTAGTACTACTCTCGCCCAAGCACGCTTAACTTCGGAGTTCTGATGGGATCCGGTGCATTAGTGCTGGTATGATCGCACCCGTAAGTCTATGCACGCAATTCGGTTTTATGTTGAGAATCTTGCGCCGCAGCGGCTTAAAGCGTCGATAACTTTTGACTCGGGATGAGTTACGAGGCGATCTGCATACGCACGCGAAGCTCTTTCAGACGCCGTCGGCGTGTCAATTAGGCGAAGCCCCATTGACCCCGCGCTCGCAGTGAAAAGAGGCCGTTTAGCCCAGCTTCCGCCACTGTTAGGCGCGTTTATCGGTGCAATCAGCTCGTTCGATCGATCCGACCGGCCCCACATTGCTCGGCGCACGTCGTGCTCGCGCTGAGATATGCATTAGATGCTCATCGCCGTCAAAAAAAAAAAAAAGAATGAAAAAACTACTAGAAAACGGGAGGTGAGACGAGAAAATAAAATACAAAAAGGTGGGGTGGGGGTGCAACACGAGGACTTCCCAGGGGGTCACCCATCCTAGTACTACTCTCGCCCAAGCACGCTTAACTTCGGAGTTCTGATGGGATCCGGTGCATTAGTGCTGGTATGATCGCACCCGTAAGTCTATGCACGCAATTCGGTTTTATGTTGAGAATCTTGCGCCGCAGCGGCTTAAAGCGTCGATAACTTTTGACTCGGGATGAGTTACGAGGCGATCTGCATACGCACGCGAAGCTCTTTCAGGCGCCGTCGGCGTGTCAATTAGGCGAAGCCCCATTGACCCCGCGCTCGCAGTGAAAAGAGGCCGTTTAGCCCAGCTTCCGCCACTGTTAGGCGCGATCGGCGCGTTTATCGGTGCAATCAGCTCGTTCGATCGATCCGACCGGCCCCACATTGCTCGGCGCACGTCGTGCTCGCGCTGAGATATGCATTAGATGCTCATCGCCGTCAAGAAAAAAAAAAGAATGAAAAAACTACTAGAAAACGGGAGGTGAGACGAGAAAATAAAATACAAAAAGGTGGGGTGGGGGTGCAACACGAGGACTTCCCAGGGGGTCACCCATCCTAGTACTACTCTCGCCCAAGCACGCTTAACTTCGGAGTTCTGATGGGATCCGGTGCATTAGTGCTGGTATGATCGCACCCGTAAGTCTATGCACGCAATTCGGTTTTATGTTGAGAATCTTGCGCCGCAGCGGCTTAAAGCGTCGATAACTTTTGACTCGGGATGAGTTACGAGGCGATCTGCATACGCACGCGAAGCTCTTTCAGGCGCCGTCGGCGTGTCAATTAGGCGAAGCCCCATTGACCCCGCGCTCGCAGTGAAAAGAGGCCGTTTAGCCCAGCTTCCGCCACTGTTAGGCGCGATCGGCGCGTTTATCGGTGCAATCAGCTCGTTCGATCGATCCGACCGGCCCCACATTGCTCGGCGCACGTCGTGCTCGCGCTGAGATATGCATTAGATGCTCATCGCCGTCAAGAAAAAAAAAAGAATGAAAAAACTACTAGAAAACGGGAGGTGAGACGAGAAAATAAAATACAAAAAGGTGGGGTGGGGGTGCAACACGAGGACTTCCCAGGGGGTCACCCATCCTAGTACTACTCTCGCCCAAGCACGCTTAACTTCGGAGTTCTGATGGGATCCGGTGCATTAGTGCTGGTATGATCGCACCCGTAAGTCTATGCACGCAATTCGGTTTTATGTTGAGAATCTTGCGCCGCAGCGGCTTAAAGCGTCGATAACTTTTGACTCGGGATGAGTTACGAGGCGATCTGCATACGCACGCGAAGCTCTTTCAGGCGCCGTCGGCGTGTCAATTAGGCGAAGCCCCATTGACCCCGCGCTCGCAGTGAAAAGAGGCCGTTTAGCCCAGCTTCCGCCACTGTTAGGCGCGATCGGCGCGTTTATCGGTGCAATCAGCTCGTTCGATCGATCCGACCGGCCCCACATTGCTCGGCGCACGTCGTGCTCGCGCTGAGATATGCATTAGATGCTCATCGCCGTCAAGAAAAAAAAAAGAATGAAAAAACTACTAGAAAACGGGAGGTGAGACGAGAAAATAAAATACAAAAAGGTGGGGTGGGGGTGCAACACGAGGACTTCCCAGGGGGTCACCCATCCTAGTACTACTCTCGCCCAAGCACGCTTAACTTCGGAGTTCTGATGGGATCCGGTGCATTAGTGCTGGTATGATCGCACCCGTAAGTCTATGCACGCAATTCGGTTTTATGTTGAGAATCTTGCGCCGCAGCGGCTTAAAGCGTCGATAACTTTTGACTCGGGATGAGTTACGAGGCGATCTGCATACGCACGCGAAGCTCTTTCAGACGCCGTCGGCGTGTCAATTAGGCGAAGCCCCATTGACCCCGCGCTCGCAGTGAAAAGAGGCCGTTTAGCCCAGCTTCCGCCACTGTTAGGCGCGTTTATCGGTGCAATCAGCTCGTTCGATCGATCCGACCGGCCCCACATTGCTCGGCGCACGTCGTGCTCGCGCTGAGATATGCATTAGATGCTCATCGCCGTCAAAAAAAAAAAAAAGAATGAAAAAACTACTAGAAAACGGGAGGTGAGACGAGAAAATAAAATACAAAAAGGTGGGGTGGGGGTGCAACACGAGGACTTCCCAGGGGGTCACCCATCCTAGTACTACTCTCGCCCAAGCACGCTTAACTTCGGAGTTCTGATGGGATCCGGTGCATTAGTGCTGGTATGATCGCACCCGTAAGTCTATGCACGCAATTCGGTTTTATGTTGAGAATCTTGCGCCGCAGCGGCTTAAAGCGTCGATAACTTTTGACTCGGGATGAGTTACGAGGCGATCTGCATACGCACGCGAAGCTCTTTCAGGCGCCGTCGGCGTGTCAATTAGGCGAAGCCCCATTGACCCCGCGCTCGCAGTGAAAAGAGGCCGTTTAGCCCAGCTTCCGCCACTGTTAGGCGCGATCGGCGCGTTTATCGGTGCAATCAGCTCGTTCGATCGATCCGACCGGCCCCACATTGCTCGGCGCACGTCGTGCTCGCGCTGAGATATGCATTAGATGCTCATCGCCGTCAAAAAAAAAAAAGAATGAAAAAACTACTAGAAAACGGGAGGTGAGACGAGAAAATAAAATACAAAAAGGTGGGGTGGGGGTGCAACACGAGGACTTCCCAGGGGGTCACCCATCCTAGTACTACTCTCGCTCGCCCAAGCACGCTTAACTTCGGAGTTCTGATGGGATCCGGTGCATTAGTGCTGGTATGATCGCACCCGTGAGTGTATGCACGCAATTCGGTTTTATGTTGAGAATCTTGCGCCGCAGCGGCTTAAAGCGTCGATAACTTTTGACTCGGGATGAGTTACGAGGCGATCTGCATACGCACGCGAAGCTCTTTCAGACGCCGTCGGCATGTAAATTAGGCGAAGCCCCATTGACCCCGCGCTCGCAGTGAAAAGAGGCGGTTTAGCCCAGCTTCCGCCACTGTTAGGCGCGATCGACGCGTTTATCGGTGCAATCAGCTCGTTCGATCGATTCGACCGGCCCCACATTGCTCGGCGCACGTCGTGCTCGCGCTGAGATATGCATTAGATGCTCATCGCCGTCAAAAAAAAAAAAGAATGAAAAAACTACTAGAAAACGGGAGGTGAGACGAGAAAATAAAATACAAAAAGGTGGGGTGGGGGTGCAACACGAGGACTTCCCAGGGGGTCACCCATCCTAGTACTACTCTCGCCCAAGCACGCTTAACTTCGGAGTTCTGATGGGATCCGGTGCATTAGTGCTGGTATGATCGCACCCGTAAGTCTATGCACGCAATTCGGTTTTATGTTGAGAATCTTGCGCCGCAGCGGCTTAAAGCGTCGATAACTTTTGACTCGGGATGAGTTACGAGGCGATCTGCATACGCACGCGAAGCTCTTTCAGGCGCCGTCGGCGTGTCAATTAGGCGAAGCCCCATTGACCCCGTGCTCGCAGTGAAAAGAGGCCGTTTAGCCCAGCTTCCGCCACTGTTAGGCGCGATCGGCGCGTTTATCGGTGCAATCAGCTCGTTCGATCGATCCGACCGACCCCACATTGCTCGGCGCACGTCGTGCTCGCGCTGAGATATGCATTAGATGCTCATCGCCGTCAAAAAAAAAAAAAAGAATGAAAAAACTACTAGAAAACGGGAGGTGAGACGAGAAAATAAAATACAAAAAGGTGGGGTGGGGGTGCAACACGAGGACTTCCCAGGGGGTCACCCATCCTAGTACTACTCTCGCCCAAGCACGCTTAACTTCGGAGTTCTGATGGGATCCGGTGCATTAGTGCTGGTATGATCGCACCCGTAAGTCTATGCACGCAATTCGGTTTTATGTTGAGAATCTTGCGCCGCAGCGGCTTAAAGCGTCGATAACTTTTGACTCGGGATGAGTTACGAGGCGATCTGCATACGCACGCGAAGCTCTTTCAGACGCCGTCGGCGTGTCAATTAGGCGAGCCCCATTGACCCCGCGGTCGCAGTGATAAGAGGCCGTTTAGCCCAGCTTCCGCCACTGTTAGGAGCGATAGGCGCGTTTATCGGTGCAATCAGCTCGTTCGATCGATCCGACCGGCCCCACATTGCTCGGCGCACGTCGTGCTCGCGCTGAGATATGCATTAGATGCTCATCGCCGTCAAGAAAAAAAAAAGAATGAAAAAACTACTAGAAAACGGGAGGTGAGACGAGAAAATAAAATACAAAAAGGTGGGGTGGGGGTGCAACACGAGGACTTCCCAGGGGGTCACCCATCCTAGTACTACTCTCGCCCAAGCACGCTTAACTTCGGAGTTCTGATGGGATCCGGTGCATTAGTGCTGGTATGATCGCACCCGTAAGTCTATGCACGCAATTCGGTTTTATGTTGAGAATCTTGCGCCGCAGCGGCTTAAAGCGTCGATAACTTTTGACTCGGGATGAGTTACGAGGCGATCTGCATACGCACGCGAAGCTCTTTCAGGCGCCGTCGGCGTGTCAATTAGGCGAAGCCCCATTGACCCCGCGCTCGCAGTGAAAAGAGGCCGTTTAGCCCAGCTTCCGCCACTGTTAGGCGCGATCGGCGCGTTTATCGGTGCAATCAGCTCGTTCGATCGATCCGACCGGCCCCACATTGCTCGGCGCACGTCGTGCTCGCGCTGAGATATGCATTAGATGCTCATCGCCGTCAAGAAAAAAAAAAGAATGAAAAAACTACTAGAAAACGGGAGGTGAGACGAGAAAATAAAATACAAAAAGGTGGGGTGGGGGTGCAACACGAGGACTTCCCAGGGGGTCACCCATCCTAGTACTACTCTCGCCCAAGCACGCTTAACTTCGGAGTTCTGATGGGATCCGGTGCATTAGTGCTGGTATGATCGCACCCGTAAGTCTATGCACGCAATTCGGTTTTATTTTGAGAATCTTGCGCCGCAACGGCTTAAAGCGTCGATAACTTTTGACTCGGGATGAGTTACGAGGCGATCTGCATACGCAGGCGAAGCTCTTTCAGACGCCATCGGCGCGATCTGCATACGCACGCGAAGCTCTTTCAAACTACTCGAAAACGGGAGGTGAGACGAGAAAATAAAATACAAAAATGTGGGGAGGGGGTTCAATACGAGGACTTCCAAGGGGGTCAACCAACCTAGTATCGGTGCAATCAGCTCGTTCGATCGATCCGACCGGCCCTACATTGCTCGGCGCACGTCGTGCTCGCGCTGAGATATGCATTAGATGCTCATCGCCATCAAAAAAAAAAAACTACTAGAGTTGTACCAAAACCATGACGGTTTACTTTTCTTTTACCAAAATCATTACCAAACCCTAATGGTTTCAGTAGTGAGTTTTAAACGGAGCAGATAGATAGCGAATCGCATTTTTTTGCCATCCCTACTTGTATCTGATAAAAAAAGTACAACATCTACTCGACACACCAAAGGACGTGAAGAAAGAAATACCGAAGCTGCATGGGGAACTAGTGGACACATTTTTGAAGTATGATAGAGACAATGACTACACCAAATCAAACAGAAATGCTTGAGACTTAGTGAAATTAATGTAGTGTAAGAAAAACTAGTATTTGTCTAACAGTCTTGTCTGTATTAAGAAACATGTAGATTTCATTAATCGACTATCCTTGTTTAAAATTTGTCAAAAACCAAACTGTATTTTGTGAAAAGAAATCTTGTAGCACAGAAAACAAAACCATTCTGTTCCATTTACAACACTAAACCACAATACAAACAAGTTCAAGAAATGAAAAGTCTGCTACAAAAAATCATAAAACTGTGAACCACATACAATGGTTTCATTAATAGACTATTAGGGTTTCACAAATTGACTACGTTGTTCAATAACAAAATAAATTTGTCCCTTGCTAACACCATTTGTCCCTTTACTACCAGTAAACCACAATAAAAATACAAAGTTCAATAAAAAAAATTCTACAGAAAACATTACATCATTATATAGAATTCATTAATCGACTACCCTTGTTTAACTAATCGACTGCGTATTTTCATAAACCTGTATTTTGTGAAAAAAATCCACTAGCAGTGAAAACAAAAAACATTTTGTCCCATTGCTAACACTAAACCACAATAAAAACAAGTTCAAGAAAAAAAAAAGAGTCTGCTAAAAAAAATCATAAAACTGTGAACCACATATAATGGTTTCACTAATCGACTATGTAGTTCAATAACATAATAAAACCCTAAAAAAAAACCAACTGTATTTTGTGAAAAAACATCATAAATTGTGAAGGTTCAAGAAAAATAACATCATTTCCGGCACGTTTTCTTGTTATGGTTACCAACTTCTCTGCAACGGTTGCATCTCATTTTCGAGATGTAAACTCCCCATTCGAAGGGATCCTCTTCCGTTTAGGCCTACCACGCGATGGATGATACTCTGGTGGCCCAATGTCGATATTTGCAATGTCATTATCATGTCTAACAAACGGCACAACTGAACCAGAATAACTTTTGGACAAAAGTTGATCTATGAACCATTTATCAATATATTCGTAACCACCACCTAATTCTAAGAAAATCACAACAGCAACATGTGCACATGGGAGCCCGTTGATTTGCCAAATCTTACACGAAAACTCTTTCTGGCAGATCCTCAACAGCATTCGCCGTCGATAAAACCTCATACACAGTTTCCGACGACTTCTTACGTTCCCATGTCCTCCCTTTTATGAACTAGCTGTCTCATTTTTTTGTCAATGAACTCGGTTAGCACAGTTGTCCACCTATTGCCATCCCCCAGTCGTTCACTCAATTGCTCCATCAACAACATTCTTATCCCGTCAATCAAGCTAGTAATAGGCAGGTACCGTTCATCGTCAACCTGAGAATTCCACGACTCAAACCCATTCGATGTCATTTGACCACACATCAGACCCTCAAAATGTGCATTTGTCCACTTCTTCTTCGGAATACCATCTAAAAAATTGCACATTTTCTTGCCGCCAGTAGCTCTCAACTTCTCAATGCAGCGGGCAAATTCTTCCTTCGTAACCGCATAAGCACAGTTTGCAAACTGTTTCGGTACCGCGTCACGAAAGTTTGGTGCAACACCCTCAACCTGTGCTGCAAATTGCGAGTCAAATGTTTGTAACAATAGCCGTGTAAAGCATCTGGATAAATTTGCTTCACTCCTTCAAGAATCCCATGATTACGATCCGAAACAAAAATCAGAGGCCGATCAGTCCCAACCGCATCTCGAAAGTGGTTCAAGAACCAAGCCTAGTTACAATCAGTTTCTTCACTTACAATTTCAAAAGCAATAGGAAACAGACCTACAAAATAAAACATAAAACATTAATCAACTATGCATATAACTATTTGACTATGCATTAACATTCCATGTTTACAGTTACCTTCATCGTCGTCTTTCCCAACAGCACTCAACAGGATCCCTTGTGCTTACCCTTCAAAAAAGTCCGATCAAGCATCACCACGGGCCGGCATGACCTGAATCCTACCAAGCAAGCTGAAAAGGCAGAAAAACACCGACGGGAAATTCTCTTGGACTCATCAATATTCAAATTGAATATGCTTCTGGGGTTGGTCCTCTTAGCTTTAGCAAAATATGTCTGCTTATGCGTACGAGCTGATGTGGTCCCCGAAAATCCTATTTCGACCCGCATCAATAGATCTCCACGCAACGAAATAGCTAATCTCAACACCAAATTTGCCTTCACCTGTGTTTGAACCTCACGGGGCATAACACCTGACATTGCTCTGATATCGCCTTCGATCAGATCAATTATGACACGCGACGTCAGTCTCCTCCTACTTACAGTACCAAAAAACATGCCGCATTGATTCTCTTTTTCTTGTACTTTCGAATGTAACAAAAACCGTTCGATTTATAAAGAGAAGTATGTATCCTCCACAAACTGAGCCTCATGTTTAAATCTACACTCAGCAGTCACTCTATAGGCCTCGTTCTTCACATACTCAAACTCAAATCCCATCTCATCTGAAAACTTAATCAAGCATTTTCTGAATTCATCAACTCTACCCAAATAAACTTGTCCTACCTCTTTAATCAGATTAACCCCACTCAATAATTTCTTACCAACCGAAGTGTCAACAACTCCCTCAACAT